GGAGAACAGACAGACGCTTCTAAAACTTTTTTTCCTTCCCGCTTGCTAGGGTTCAGTGGGTGAAGCCAGTACACGTACAAATGCGCACACACACGGTCCACGTGCAAACATGGGAACTTCAAAGAACCAGCGCGCGCGCACACACGGTGCCCTTGAAACCAAAGATCAGGCCTCCGCAAACCTGGCCTAGCGAACAGTCGGCGTCTTTGGAGGCCGGCCCTGCACATGGCTTCAGCACAGCACGTGGTCAGAAGGGTGCAGATGGCAGCGGCTCGGTCCTGTGCCAGGAAAGCCTCCGCGCCGCGTGGCCCTCCTCCAATCCACCAGCCACCGAGGAGGGGGGGGAAGAGGCAACTTGAAGAGGGAAGTTTTAAAACCCCCACGCGGAGCTATTCACAAGCAAAATCTCCCCTCCGCCTTTAAAAACTGTCTTAAGAATGAATCCACGCGGGCAGGGATTCCCCGTACGGGGCAGTAAGCCTTTTGCAGCCCCCGCATAAAACCCGGCGTACAGAGGTGAAGAAATCGTGCCGCACCGAGCTGCGACTCCACGGCTAAGCTACAAAGAGGGGGGGTACTCCTCCCTCCCTGACACCACCACAGATCTCAACTCAGAAGCAAAATATCTTAGGAAAAAACTTACCTCTGCAAAGTAATCCACCTTCTGCAAACAAGGGGCAATAATCGGGGCTTAAACTACCTCCCCGCAGCTCTGTGAGCTCGCTTTAGACCACGGCTACGGGAAGCTTTATAAGCCGGGGGGTAGGTGCGTGTAGGGGAGCAACACGCTTTGCTTAACGTGCAGGGCTCATACCTGTAGCGCACAGAGCCACAAAAGTCTGAGCATGTTTACGGATGATCTGCTTGGTGTCCTCTGCCAGAGGCATTTTAGTAAGGAAATGTTCAATGAAATCGTGGGGGGTCATTGCAGCCAGATTCCATTTCAGCTTATTCACCAGAAGCAGCTCCATTTGCTGCAAAGACAAGAGGGAGGGAAGGGGGAAGAAGAGAAGAGGAAGGAGAAGAGGCAAAAACGTGGTTAGCTCCGCTCACGCACGCTCCGCAGCTGGGCCGGGCAGCTCTCGGCCGAACCCGCTTCCCCGGCTGGGGGTGCGCGGAGGGGGGAAAAGGGGAGAGGGGGTCGGAAGTCCTTGCCGCGGCTGAGCCCCA